TTCATTATACTTATATTAATTATTGAAAATTCATTTGAATTATTAATCAGTTATAAGTTTTCAATATTTTTAATATTGCTATATATATTTTTCCTTCATAACGCATCAAGGACGTTCAAGTCGCGCGTTATTAAGGGAAGTTTCCAATGACAGGTATTCTTTAGCATATGCTTAACTCTCTTCTACACCCCGTTGGTGTCTAAAAACTCAATTTGACTGGTAACAGTTTATTAAAAATATTTTAGTGATTCATTCAATCAAACGATTCGCTTAAGTCCAGTTGTGACAGTTTATTTTATTACTCTTAAAGTGAAATTTTTAATACACACAATTAAGATGGATCTAACTTGTCCCGATTATTTAGACTGCGATAAAGTCAGTTTGGATGCTGTTCAAGAAATAAATATCAGAGACCAACCTGAAGTTTTTGAAGAACTAGAAGACTATAAGTGTGTGAAATTAAAAGAAAAAGTTGTTAGAATTTTTATTCAAATTATAGACAATTGGAGTGATAAAATTTTGTGCACCAATTGTTATCTACAAATTGTATCTGATGAAAGATTCAATTATAAAGTTTATAAAGACTTTCACATCATTACGCGTACACCAATTGAACAGTGCGATGAATGTGGAAAGAAAATTCTAAATATTAGATCTTGTGAGCAATGTTATGAATGCATTGCTGAATTTTTTAACGCATGAAAAATTTTTGAGAGAGAATGGAAGGATAAAGGTGTCATATTAGTATATTCAATTAAAAAATGTTTAAAAAATGTATGAAAATAAGAAATGTTAATCAATGAAAAAGTATTTTATTCATTATTATAATTTTAAAAAAAAAGTTCGATTATTTTATTAGAAACCTTAAATAAATTTATTCAAAAAAAGAAATAAATTAAAAATATATCTTATTCATAAATATATATATATATATATAATTCATTAAAAAAAAAAAAAATACAAATAAAAATTTAAATTTTTTGTGTACAGGATTCATTATCATATTTATAATTCATAAGCTACGTGCTTAGGTACGCAAGCTTGCAATCGAGCTCGCTTATGAGTCACTGGAATTTACCGCTAATTCGTTAAACTTGATATTATTGCTTTCTATACTCATAAAGTGCTATTACTTATATAGCTGTATATTAAAAATTTTTTTCTGACATTCTTCAAATGTTTTTTTAATATCTTGTTGTTAATTAGAAAGGTCATCTTTAAAAAATTACAAATAGTATATAAAACTAGTTTTAAATTGTTGAAGTTACATAGAACTGCTACTAGAAATTAGGGAAAATCACTTGAATCTCACTTTATTTACATGTTCTTCTTATAATAATTCATACACATAGTTTGCAACACTGTTTCGATTGCAAAAATGTCACCAGGTTAACTCGAAGTAAATAGTAATTTTTCCAGAAAACATGTTCTTGGTGTGAATAACTTTTCCTGGCGTGAAAAGTATCGTTTCTGTAATGTCCAACATTTTCGCGTTTTAATTATAACATGACGTGGTCTATGAGGATGTAGAGCCATTCCCAGAGTTATGCCCTATGAGGTGAAGTACTCAAATAAAATGTCCTTCTCAAGACAGGGAAACAAGGACTATCCCCTTACTATTCTATTAGGTAACTAAGAAAATAGTCAACTAAAAGACGACACCTAGCACTACCGTAAGGTTATCATGGGAGGTCGGGTCAATAATTACCGACCGACCCATTCTCAATCAATAAAAGGATCAATAGTTGATCCAAAATTTAAAATTATAAATGAGGGCGTAATAAAGCTCTGTGCTCTACTCCTAATCAAGAAGCAATAGATAAACGACGGATTACCAGAAGCTTCACTCAGCGGTTGCCTCTCTTGTTGAAAAGACGTCACTTGGCATTACTTGTTGTGCCGAAAAGACATTACTGTTTTGTAAGTCTTACAAATAATTATAGAAAAGCGAACGTTTGTGAAGTTTGAAAGAAGATCTATTGTATCATTAGGTTTATTCTCACTGTTGGAGAAGCCGTTGGTGGCCAGGATAAAATCGTTGGAGAAAGTACTCAGTAAACCGGGATATCCAGCCGTTGGTGGTGGAGCAGATTAACGACAGCTACAAAGGGAGCGATTTGCTGACTCTAGGTGGAACGTGGGACATCACTCGTAAGCTGTATCTTTATTTCTGCTAGTGGATCTACTATTATTGTATAGCGAGCGTGTCTCACGCAATTTTTATTGTATAATTTATTGAGTGATTAAGGAACGCCGTAGTCAGAAATTTCGGCGGCAACAATTCTTTGTCGTACCGTATCTCCAAATCTCTCTTGAGACTAGAAATTATCATTTCACTAGACTCATGGATAGTTGTTTGATCGATGTTAAATTGATCCAATTGTTTGATTGATATTCTAATATTTTTTATTCAAGAGACTTATTGTGAATCTTGTTGATACTTGATTAATGGTTGTAATATAATTAGAGCCATTTTGGCAGTGTTATTGTAATTCACGGTGAAACTAATTACGTGCTATGTAACATTAATGATTTACATGGTATTCCATTGATTGATTTCTTTGCTTAATCCGTCAAGCTGCTATTTCCAATGTCCTGAAATCTTGTTGTGAAATTAATGTAGAAACTTGGTAGTTTTCCATTCGTATCTTCAATTCATGCTTAAAATCACCAGGTCCAACGTTTAACAGTATGAGCGCCGTCACGAGACGTTGCTTGAAGCTTAATCGACTCAAACAAACGGTAAAACGTAGGTTGACAGTGCGCGGACGTTAATCCGTCGCGTTGTCAGTGATGATTCTCGAGCATTTCTTTAGTTATCCTGAAAAAAGCTCATTAACTTAACCTATCAAAATCTGTTGAAATATTTTCAAAATCAAATCGTGATTAAGTTTGCATAGAGACTCAGTGTGTATTAGCTTGAAACCGATAATGGTTATTTTTACTATCTAATCATTTACTTGCTAGGGTTTTGCTCCTCAACAATTAATACAAATCTTATTTTACAGATCCGATTAAGTTTGATACATTACATTTACAATGAAGTGTTATCAACCAGTGTTTTACATTCCAATAAAAGTAAAATTAATGTTATCATAGTCCCCTTTGATTCAAAATTGATCCTTCTCAATCATTTACTATGCCAAGCCTTGAAATTATTGTCTCTCTTGTAACAAACAAATCTTCTTAACGAGAATTCTCAAAAAGATTCTCGCCACAATTTAAAATTTAAAGTTCAGGCTTCTATCTAACCATATCATACAAGGCAACGTACATTAATTCTTCGCGTCTTGACCAATAACTTGAGTTTTACAATTTAAATCCATACTACTATATAAATTTCTGATGTCTGTCTGTTTGTCTGTCTTTCTGTCCACGCTAATCTCTGAAACAGCTTATCCGATTGTGACCATATTTTGCACATATGCAGAGAGTGTTGTCAGAAAAGTTATAGTCCACTAATTGTTTAAGTAAATTGTTTATAACAATTAAATTTGCTCTAAACAATAGAAAACAGGATCTATTCAATATATTTGAGCTCTTCCAACAGAATATCTTTTCTTCCACTAGAATAATATTACTAACCGTGTCTAACAAATGGAAACCTCTTCCTTCCGTTAATAATTATCCAATTCGTTATAATCAATCGAAAATGGAATATATGCATCACGTTCGATTTTATTTAACGGGAAAACTTTTTTTGTTACGGAAACAAAGTTGCTCACTATGTACAATGAATGTAAACCGACTCCTCTGGTTTGTAACATATAATTTGTAGTAAAGAAACAGAAATTAAGTCTTAGAGTAGAATTCAATTCATCTTCTTATATTAATCTTATCACACAGCAAGAGTTTTCTGTAATTGGCTTATTCGCGGACGAAGTTGCGGGAATTTGCTACTATAACCATAAACACTGTAAACTAATCTAACTCTAACCTCAATTACGTTTTTGGCTTAGAATAGTGATGATACAAGCTAGATTTATATAAGAAAGATACGGTAATCTGATAATTCTCACCCAAAACGTGACTCTAACGTCTATCAACTACGTGGTTGAGCTCTAACTCAACCTACAGGACTCGGAAAGCTAACTTTGCCTGAGGAAAGGCTTCAACTTTGCCTAAGTAACTGACGAGCTACAACTCTTGATTACTAACTGAAACCAGGAGCACTAACTCCTCGCCAGAATGCTACAACCTCCAGGCCTTGCTTTTGGAAAGCTACAACACTCCAGGAAATTGGAAGGCTACAACTCCTCAGCCAGAGCCATAACCCTGATTCGTTCAGCGAAAAGCTACAACGATTAGCGGTTTATTCATTCTAACACTTTGGAGGCAAGTGTGTGGATTTTCGAAAAATCGATCCCTTTTATACTATTTGACTCCACCCACTTGGTAGGTCATGTAGGGAAGTCTTCATGGCAACGAAAATCATCACGAATATCTCTTTCTCTTATTATCCAAGTTTTAACATTGTTCTTTTTTTTAACTCATGATTTATACGGCGGACCTATTTTTTTCTCCAATACGTGTACCAGAAGAGAACGTAAGTAAAGCAAAAATTTGGGGCACAAAAAAATAATAAACTAGTGTACGAGCGTCAAGCATAGTGAACCTTTGAAAATAATGAACATTTTCATTCATTAAGATTAAAAGATAAACATTGAATACACTGTTAATAATAATGTTTTCATCTGGAATAATTGAATAAAAGTATTGAATATCTGACATTTTGTAAGTACACAATTGTAAAAGCATCAACGATAGAAATGAAGGTACGACAGACTTGATATTCATACCTACAAATGAATAAGTTCTATTTCCATTAAGATTAACAAATAGAAATTCAAAACATTTCTAATAACAGTGCATTTAGTTAGATTAAAATTTTCCACCTATCTTTCACTGATTAAAGACAAATCATACATACAGTAACCAAAACATTATTTTGAATATTCAAACGAAATAGGCAAATAAAAGAATATTCTTCAAATCTTTACCAAATTTGCTTGGTATGATGTCTGGATCAATTTCTGAAGTTTGTTGCACCCTCAAATTTGCGTACTGGCTCAAATGATTCTTTATTACGCTGTTTTTTCGATGTCTTGTGATGAACATCTTTTTATACTGTGCTTTGAGTACAATTATCAAAATTATAATTACAAATATTGAAACAACTCCTAAAACTGTGATAATCATTGGTGATGAATCCAAGCTTCTTTCTGATCCTGAAAACAAAAAAATTTACCGTCAGTTTTCTGAATGTACATCACCGAGCTTTATTATTTGCACTAGAAAATTTAAGTATCATAAAGAATACGTTTACATAAATCAGTTTACAATCAGATTTTGTAGCGTTTAATGAAAAAAACTTAAAAAGTTTGCATGTTTTGCAGATGTAAAAGTTGAAGAATGAAATATATATGACGACTCAAAAGTGAATTTCAAACATCATGGTGTTTTAATAAATTATATATTACGACCCAAGGCCAGAAAGTTAAAATCCCCAGCGTGTATGATATGATGGCCGAGGCAAAGCCGAGGCCCTTACATCACACACACCGGGGCATTCAACTTTTTTGGCCAAGTGTCGTTTACTTTTTTTCTTGATCCCGCTGGAGGTGAGTTCGGTAACCACTTCATAAGGTAAACAGTTGTCTGGGGGATGCCCGCCCGACTTCTGCAGAGCCGTGGCGAAGCCGAAGTTTCTGCTGGTCGGAGGCAGACAATAGCAAAAAAGTCAAAAATCAGTCTAAAATTATTTATACATAAATGATAGTAACACTTATTACAAGAAACTCAAATTTTAACCAACAATAATACTATTGTATTATGTTCATAATCTTGATATAAAATCATTCTACATATTTGACAAAAAAAATTAAAATCAAAAGTAAAATTGAAAGTACAATCGTTGAATGTACGATTTTCGAATTCAGTAAAGGATTGAATGCATCTCTTGTTCTTTATTTATTTATTTTCTATGTTTTATTGATTTATTTTCTATACGTATGTAGAATATTTGACGAGTTATTGGAATGTTCAATGTTTTTTTATTGCTCATATGGTTAAAATAAACATAATATTCATATGGACAACATCCTCAAGCCATTCATCATCTCCTCAATAAATTAGTTTATGTTTCCGAGCCACAAAAATCTTCTAGTTAATCGAAGTACGCATGAAGTCGAGTAGGCCACAAAAGTCGTTGTTTCGGAAGCGAAATACGACCAGAAAGGCTGTACTGTCGGCTAGGGGATCAAGAAAAAACATTTGCAATGTTTTATAATAATAAAACTCTTATAACGTCTGTTTTTTTACCCGCAAAGTTGGCACCTGATAGAGGTGACCTTGTACGTTAAAAATACAAAAAAAAAAAAAGAAAAATACCTTTATTTGCAAATTTATAAAAGTTGCGGAAATACACTTCTTTTCATTAAAAATAACGAAAAATCTATAACTCGAAAACTATAAATGATTTTTCAGTACGACGTAACTAGAGACTAAATGATTTATAACTAATCAAAAGAATTTATGTTGTTATCGTCATGTGAGCAAACATAGATATAATTCTTATCATAGTCACTGATAAAGTACTTAAGGAAAATTATTTCTATAATTGTAATATACGGATTATTTAATGCTAACATTTTGAGCGAATGTGACATATTTTGATCATTTAAAAAATTGTAACATTATTTATTCGCATTTATCTTCAATACTGTAGTGAATAGATGTTTTTGACTCCTGTATTCATTTTAATTTTGGTTAATAGTCATTATTTTATATGTGTATAAAATCGTGTGCTCAAAATAGAAATATTATCATCTTTTATTCTAAAGATTGTGTAACACTCAATAATTGAAAATGAATGTTAACCTCATCAATGTTATTCGGTTACTTTTGACAACATTACAAACTATGAAAATTATGGAGACACCTGTAAATAATGCTGAAATACAATTGAAAAATCACTTCGAACAAATATTATTGTATGCAGTAAATGGGTATACTGATATTGAAATGATGGAGGAGAATTCATTACATTTTGAAGAACTAAAGAAGGATTGGAAACCAGAAATTTGGAGATAAATGTGAAATTCTAGGATGTAAAAATAATGCAATTATCCGCTGTGCACGGTGTAAAAAATTATTGTTCGTCTGAAATTCTAGAACCCAAAAAAAATAGATCAGATCGGACTAGATTGCCGGAAATAACAACAATTAGAAATTAACACCTTTTGTTGTCTTTATTTGCACTAAACTACTACACAAGCTATATTTGAATATCACAAAATTGTACTGCAGGTTGATTAGCGAATTGGTCGACTTGATGAGTGTCACGAGTGTCTTAGTGGTCTGAGTGTATGTGCTTCCAGGTAGCACACAATGCAACGGTCACACTTTCTGAGTGATTGAAGGCAATTGAGGTGTCTCCTCTGAGTGTGCAAGAGGTTGTAAGTCTTTCACAATGCAGCAATGATGAGGATGAAGATCGGTGATGAGTGGAAGACATTATTTATTGTCACTCAAGCGGTATTCGACAACACTGATTTCTATGCCCGATGCGTGTACTTGGTCCCGGCCACAGGCTGAGTGATTGCACGGATGTTAGTTAGATAACAGAGGATTGTTGAGTGATCACAATATTGCACATCAATTCCTTAAGTGATTGAGGAGCTTAAAAAGTAACAAACTAACGTAAAAATACAATTAATTGAGCGAGTGAAAAAGTACGCGACCGGTCACATGTACGTGATTGTAGGGAATGACGTCATGGCGTCAGAGTTTTTGGTTCATGAATTTCAAGTGACGTTGAGTGTCAGACAGCCCGAGAGATGCTGCCCTTTGTGTTGGACGGCGCGGACATTCAATATGATTGTTTAAAGTTTTTCACAGTTCGTTCAACATTTTTATCATGATTATCATATATGTAATACGTACAATGAATGAATAATTCATCTTCTTCGTTTTGATACAAATCTGGGAAAAAACGGAAAGACTATTTTTGGCATCGATTTTTAAAATTGTAAAGACACATTTCTCGCAATTTTTATGCTCTTCCGATAGAAATTGATTCAATCAATAAAATGTTATTAGTTTCTGTTATTTTTAATCCTACCAGAACTGCCATCTTCGGATGTCAGTAAAACTTCACGCTGATGATGACTCTGTAAATAATAAAATTCTCATTTTCAGATAATTAATCAAAAGAATGGCAAAGAATGAGTTAGGTTAAAAAAAAATTTCGGAAGACTTGGCCCAATTCTTGTAACGTTCTCTATTGATAGAAAATTTCTGGACATGATTCCTATAATTTGGGTCAAATCTTATGAAATTTCTTTCAAACTAACTCCTATTTTAAATTAAGTAAAAATTGATCGCAAAAAAAAAATTGATTGTAAATTTTTATCTGCAAAGTTAATTTTTAAATAATTCAAAGAAAATTTGAAAAAGTATTTTTTTACACTATGCATCGGAATTAAAGAAGAAAATGACTCAATTTTATAGATGACATGGCATTTCATTTGATTTCAACTTTTTTTGCTGTTTTGAAATTATTGTAATTAATTATTTAAAAATAAGAATTTTGTTCTTAACAGAGCTGTTTCGGACGTGTACCTGGCAAAAAGTTTGACTTACATCCAAAGATGGCAATTTTAGTAGGATTTCAATTATTTTTGTAATTTAATTCATTACTAGCTGATTTCTGCGACTTCTTCTGCGTATCGTGCACAATTACATTACGTAGTAGTAGATTAGTCAACAAAGTATTAGACAGTAATTTCTTAGTTTGCATTCCTATTCCTATTCCTATTCCAAATACGTATTACTTTGTGATGGTATGGAAAAAACGTGATAATTCGTTGATACTTACAATAAACGGAAAAAATTTGTAATTTTATCTTGGAATTTAATTGCATTTCTTTTACAACGATGAAATTTTTATAAAAAAAAAATCCGTTTTTATTCATGTTACATAATCAGTACCTTCACTTCGATAGAGAAAAAAAAATTTCCTAGTGGATGAACTTAAATACCCCGCATAGATCCTATTTTCAATTGCTTATAACAAATTTGAAGGTCATAAACAAAAGAAGTTTTTTTATATTTATGTGACAAGGTTAGTAATCCTTTTTCAGTAAAACCAAAAAAATTCCCGTTGGCAGAACTCGAATGTGTTATATAGTTCCCGATCTCAATTTTTTATAATAAATTTTATGGTTATAAACAAAAAGAGTCAGTTATTAATCATGTAACACAATCAGTGACTTCCTTTTAGTAAAAAAAATGAATATTGCATTGGTTGGACTCGTATATATTAAAAAGATTCAATTTTTAATAGTTTATATAGAATACAATTGTTAAAATCGAGAAAAGTCTTTATATGTTTACGTCACATAATTAGTAACTCACTTCTAGTAAAAGAAAAAATATTCCGTAGGTAGAAGTTGAATATTCTGCATAAATCCCGTTTTTAATTGGTTATAACAAATGCAATTGTTATGAACAATTGCCATAAAAAAGTAGCCTATGTGACTTTTGACCACCTCCTCTTGTGCTGCGAAGTTCCATCAGAATCGGTTCCGCCGTTTCCGAGATTACCCCAAACAGGCAGACAGACAGATAGACAAAAAATTCTAAAAATGATTATTTACTTTCCAACAGCACGCGAATAACCCTCTGAGCTTAGTTTGAAACAGTTTTTTTTAAAAAACACAGACAGACACTCTAATTTTATTTATATAAATAGACTAGCTTATCTTCATAATTTTGTCCACGCTAGTGTTTAGTACCAGACACATGTATCATCCCAGGAAATAGAAAAAATAACTGATTGTTGTCAATGTATTGCTATGAAGTTCATTAACTAAAACATTCAGCTATTAGCTATAATGATTCTAACCATATCAATGAATCATTCACAGCCGGTGTATTTACGTTTTGTGCAATTATATCTTTTAAGATATCTAGTAGTGAAATCAACTTACATGTGACAGTCTTAGGTTGTCATTTACGTATTTATCAGCAGTTTCTCTAGAACAGAGAGTCGTACAATTTTTGCCAGAAAATTCAATGTCAGAAATCAATAGCAATTTGACTCAGAAAATAAAAAGTCGTACGTAACTCTGACGAAAATTGTGAAATTTCAAAATTCTACGATCTAGACACTTAGAGTATTTTTCATTGATTATGATATACAATATGAAAAAAAAAAATTTTTCTC